AACTGCTATTTTTTTTTTTTAAATCTACACATATATACATATAATCTGCATACAATAACGTTGTCGTTTCATCGACAACTTTTAAACGTTTAATCAAATATCTGGTCACGTTGAAATTGTTGGCAATCGTTTACGCAAAGCGTTATAACGTAACGAAGACTATTGTATAAAAAAATATATGTAATTCTGATCGATTTCACGACCATCTCGCAGAGACAGGAAGGAAGATCGAACGTTTTAATATAAAAAAGCATGGCGTTATAAGGTTCGCGATGAAGAAGAGTTTCGTTGTTACAAACTCGTCGAGCAGTAGAGCATTCTCGAGGCAGAAAATAGAAAAAGTAACGATGCTTCACGATCTCGCAAGGGAAGCACCGGTTGCCGCAAGAACAGTTATAATTACCGCACTCACCGCAAATGTCGACGTACATGTCTCTGGACAGTTTAGCGTAGTATTCCAGCCATTCTTCGCCTCACGTTTGCCCGCAAATCATGCACTCGCATTCTTCTTGCTATTAGCCTTGTTCACATCCGAGTAACACGTTGTACCTCCCCACCGCCATTTGCAAAAACGAATTCAATCCGGCCTTCCTGCTAATTATTCGCAGATACATCTCAACGAGGTGGGTTTCGAGAATTGCGAATATTCGAATAGTTTCACGCGTTTCACGAGTTCCAAGAATTTTATTTTAAATAATTGACTCGAGCGAATTTTGGCCATCGTTTCGAATTAATCCGAGAGAATCCAAGTTTGAAATTTTTCAAGATCTTTTGCGATAAGATCGAAAGATTACAACGTAATCTCTGAAAAGTATATTTGTTCAATCTATCTTGTAAATGCTTTTTTATCTGAAATCGTAAACGAGTAATCAGTAGGAAATCTTTGAAGAGAGACCTTCGTGAAAAATTCACGTGATATTTTTAGTTATTTTAATATTGAGATTGAAATTGAAAAATTTGTGCAACAACGTGTTTGAATATTATTATCGTTGTAAATATATAAAATGAAACACGTCATCTTTTTAAAAATCTCAGATATGAATATGTTTATGGAATAAGAATTATTAATATCATGTAGTAACAATATTCTTTAGAACAAATTAAAAGTGGTTATACATATATGCAAGATTCAACTCGAGAATTACTCGAATACTAAATGAAATATTAATCGAAAATATGTATCGTAATAAATATAAAATATTTAATATTCATACTAAGAATTAATATATTCATGGGACATCTTTGAAGGATCGATTCAAAGCCATAATTTATTATGCTTCCACAAAGACATATTAATAAATAATCCATAATTTTCATTGTAAAATAATTTTCCACATAAATAATCATAATTGCATCGATCTTCCAAAGATTATTTTACGATCAGTTTGACGATCGCTTGTAGCAGATTGAGAACCACCGTAATGATATCGCAGATATATCGATGAATTATATATACGAGTAGAAACTTGTTGAATAATCAATTAGCATATCAATGTGTATTATAAAATTTTTTTAACGTCACGATAATTAATGATATGTTAAAATTATTCAAGTAATTATTCAATCGCTATTATATCACGAAGAACTTCATTTGACGAAGGAAAAAAAAAAAATACGAAATCGTTGTAAAAACCTTGTACATCATAACTTTTGTAAAAGTGGTTAGCCAACTGTATGGATTTCCAGTTTTGCAAAAACATTGCACCAACATTTGCAAAAACATTTGTGTTCCTTCACGTTGGTTGATCCAAAGTATCTAGCATCCTATGAAATAAAATATAGCATTCAGATCCACATATTCGCATATTTTCTGTCGTAATTCGCGAAAATTGTTTAAAGACGTGGGGTCTCGTCACTCGATTCTTTTACGAAAGAATTAGAGTATAGAATTAATAATAATACGGATCGAAGAAAGATCTATCAAACGAATATTTGATGAGGAATTATAAATTTCACGATTCTTTCACTGAATTTTTTTTACAATCTTTTGTCAACGAATTTATTTTTTTTTTTCCGTGCTTCATGAAATTTGCGTGGAAACATTCGTTTAAGTAATTAGCAAACTGCTATTTTTTCCACAAATACTCATTGGTTATTACGTATTTACTTGAAATTCAAAATACCGTTGATGTTACGAAACGTCTTATCGGATTGAAATTAATTTACGATGAAAATATATACGTGGAAAAGAACGAGCACTTTTTTCCAACGAATGCATCAAAGAAGGACGTTTTCAATGCCGCGTTAAAAATAAATTTCGTAATCGATCGGACAGATCGCAGCTTGTTTACTTGTCGCGAATCGAACCAATTATAATTCGAAATTTTCTCTGCGAGTTTAGACAATTTCAACGCGATTCGAACAATTTTGTCGAGGTATCTCACGAACTTGTTTAGCGGGTCCAACGCGATTACGAGCCTTTACAGACCGTTCACCCAACGGGAAGGAATTTTCTGAGGCCAGTTCTATCGTATCCAAGAAATCGTGGAAGAATGTCTCCTCTCCCGATACGATCGTCGATGACGTTGTTTACGTGGCTGTGTAACATCTTTGACGACTCGAAACTTTCGAAGGAAATGGCACGAGCTTCAATTAAACCGAGCAACACGATGGAACGAAAGTGTCTCGTCCACGTTTCTTTTCGCCCCAACGAATCTTCTTTTTCTTCTTCTTCTTCTTCTTCTTCTTCTTCTTTCGTTTTCTCGATATTTGGATCCGCAAAAACGGATTCCATTATCGCTATCGCAAATTGTATTAGACTGTCCTGAAAACTCATTCTGGTTTTTTATGATTTAATTTGATCGCATTAATAGCTTTGTTGAAATTAATATTATAATTAAAATTTGATATATGATAAATAATTCAGTTTATTCAGTCTCGATTTTTAACAAGATTAAAATTTGTAATTGATCGTTATTGGTAATGTTCTCGATTGATTTTTAATATCTATATTTGCTAATTTAAATTTTCAATACCAATTACAGGTATTAAAAATTTTAGCTTTAATATAATATGTTTCGAAAAATCTAAAAGGTTTGTAAAAGTATTCGAATTCTGTATTGAATTCACATCGAGTCAATTTGTGTGTGTATGATCTAATCTCTCGTGAAGTTGTAAATTTTCTAATATTGTCAGTCGATAAATTCCACGAAAGAGTGTTTAATTAAGCGCACAGTTATTGGAAAATAAGAAGAATCGAATTAATGAAATATCAATGAAACTGTGATATATGCAAATGTAAGAAGAAGAACAATTTTTAAAGCGATCAACGAATAAATTGTTTGATACTTCGAATAGGATTTTTATCGCAATAATTATTATAACGTGTAATGATACACAGTTACTTGACTCTGGTCATCGTGACCTAAAAATAGCGAATAAAACTTGATAACCTTGAGGAATGTGTCACGTAATTTCGAAAATAAATCGGATAACGATTAAGCAGAAATAATTTGTCGGCTTTAATGGCGATGAGATCATAGAATTATTTCACAGAATAAAATAGAAAAATTGTAGATATATTCGCGTGAATTTCTTATCGTTTGCTTATTATCAAGCATCGACTCTTTCAATTTTGGTGTTTGAATTATATGCGAGAAATAAAAAAAAAAATTTTATTATTAAATATATTTTGGCAATTAGATGTTAAAAAACAAGTTTTATAATATTTCAATGTAGTAGTAATTTGAACAATGAATTTGACCCCGATGTTGAAAAAATTAACTTAAATTAGAACAATCGAGAAATATAATTACCCAAATAAACGCAATTACGCAAAGATATTGTCACTCATTTTGTTTCTATTGATTCGAAATTCGTCAAACATTCGTTAAAACAAAAATTTTTAACGATTCGATTCACCGCTATTATCATGTTTATCATGTTTTTGATTAACTTTTTTTTTTTCAAAGTCAAAGTAATTATTCCACGTGCAATTTTTTTTTTTTTTTTAATTTGTCTCGATGACTAGAAATGAATCTTCCTTTTTTCATACCTGTCCGAATAAAAACAAATAAGTCGTAAATATATTTTATTGTACTTTGAATTTCAAAGATCTGAGTCATCGCGGAATTATCGTGTTTTCATGACGCGCAGGAAGAATGTTATCATTCGTGAAATACGAAACATTAATAACATATGTTTTATACCCGATAACTCTGAACGAGCATCGATTTTAATTTTTAAGACATCTATAACTAACTAATAATAACAACTAACTAATTGCCGGAATATTTATACCACTCATAACAAATTACAGATTAATTTAGTTTAGTAGGAATTTTTTCAACGTTGGATCGTTAAAAGTTTTTTTAAACGAGTTTGAAACTGCAAACACTTTCGGGATACGTTCGGTTTAATTGACATTTCAATGCTCGAAAGCAAACCGGTGTGACGGAATAAATTATGAAAATCATTGGTTTTCGGTGCATTCAACGTTACGATTCAACCGGTGAATATTTTATAGAAGGTGTAACGACGTAACTTCCCTTTGATTTTCCGAATACGTGAAATACTTTAATCATTTAAATTATTTCTTATTATAATCGAAGTTTTTTTTTTTATTTTAATCAAAAATTTCGATATTTTCAATAAAACAAATTCGATGAATAATTTAATGAATATGTGTCCCCGTTTAACTTTATTTACAATTAGCGAATTCATGGAACAAGATGAAATTCGCGTTTCATTTATCGTTCGAAATCCTATTTCAGTTCATCGAAAGTCAATGTTCCACTTGTCGAGTTTTCAAACGACAAAAAAGTCTCTCCGATATCTCTGCATTTACACAAATACCGTTCACACTACATCGTACAATAAATCTTATAATAAATGTGAAAAAAACATGATAAATGCGTCGAGTTCACAATCGTTTTGATAAAATTATAAATATTTAAATAAAACGGGGGATGAAATGGTAAATTTTTCATGATTTTCATTTAACGATATATATAATAACGATATTTTAAAAATAAAATAAAAAACATACATTCAACTCGGTATAAGTAGTCAGTCTTTCAAAACGAAACCTGTAAGGTAACTGTGATAACGTAAAAATTCCTGGAGAGGACATTTTTGCTGACTGTACCAATTAGACAATGAATTGTACGTTCGCGGCTCTTTCTTCTTGTGGAGAAACTCGCAAAGATTGCAAGCAGCGTGTTGAATGCCGCCATCGATTTTGTAATACCTCTTCCAAGCGAAATATTTATTATACTCTCGCGGATTCTTGATCAGTTTCTTCAAGTATTCGGCCAAATCCTTGGGAGAGTTGAAGTCGAGCACGTCTATGTAAGATCGTGGCGGGGCAAAGAGACTGTAATTGGCGCCACCGTACACGATTGGGATCACGTTGTATCTGTAAATAAAAAAGGAGCAACACTTTTTAATTACTTTGAACAATCGAACATAAAACTTGTCTTGAAATCTTGAAGAAGCAACATTTTGAGAATATTTTTATATCCAAGAAAACTAATCGAGGTAGTATACGAGAAAATTGTCGAAATCAATTTAATCTAAATAAATATAATTCTTTTCCTTTTTCCTTCTAATCTAAAATCGTATCTAAAATCATATATAACGAATATGAAAAAAGAGTAATAAAAAAAAAAAAAAAAAGGTTAAGAAAAAGAGATAAAACGAGAAAAGAGAGAGAATTAATCGGTCACATATCGGAACAATTGCACACGAATTCGTAGCGCGGATCCGTCAGCCGATTCGAAATCGATCAACGAGGCGGTTACGAGCCACGTGTAGTAACAATTCTATCATCGAGATCGTCCATTGTTTTACCTGAGGGCATTGTACAGCTTCTCGGTTACGTAATCGTCGCAGAACGAATTCTCGAACGACAGATAGAAAAAATAGTGGGGTTCGACGACCTGCTTGAAACAGTCTACGCTAAGTGGGCAATACATGGTCCCGCATTTCCCGTAAACGTCGATCGGTATGTGCCTCGACAGCTCGTCCACGTACTCCTGCCGACCGCTTTTTGCCTCACAGTTGCTCACGAACCAGATTATAGGTTTCACCTTCCTTCGAAACATCTTCGAGAATGAAGATGCATCCTCGCGGCTGTGCGGCTGCTCACCTGTGCACACGAATCGTTCCTTTGATGATCGATAATTGAATCAATAACTTATTGCGTTAAAAGTACTCTTAATACTTTTAATACCAGTTTTATCCAGTTTGATCCTGGTTATATTCCTTTATATAGTAAAGTATTTTCAACTCGATGAAAACTCGTGAAAATTCTCACGATCGCCGATAAACATCTCAAGATCGATTTACATTCGTTTTTTACCAACTATAATAATATTGTGCACGTGCGTGACACGTGCTCGTTACATATTTTCCCATTAGAACAATTCCCAATGGTGAAACGCAAGAGTGTGCGAATCGCCTTGGCCCGTATCTAATGAGTGTATAAATCGATCTTCTTTATTCGTTTAGGTTGTTGAACGTAAGTTAGGCGGATGGAAAGGACAGTATGTCGGACAAATAAACAGACAGGTGGGAGACAGGTAATTTGCAACGGTTAATAAAGTCATCGTAGGCACTTTAATTAACGCGAGTAGTCCAAGGAAGGTTGGTGGCGCGTTTACGTAACGCGATTGCGCAAAATAATTGTCGCGAATTTATTCCTCACCGACTTCCTCACGCGACTACTTTTCTACCTTCTCTTTTCAGCGTGGTACACGCATCCAATCCTCGAGAAATATTTCGCAACAACGCGTAATAATACGTAATAACATCAACGTCGATAAAACAATCAACAACAAGATTTGCAATTTAATTTTCGCTGATTACGCGATAATTCTTTTATTTTATTTTTTTTTTTTTAATCATCCCGTGGAACAGGAAAAACAAAAAAGTAATTAATACTGATTATTCTTGATCTTATTAGTGTCGACGATTGAAGATTTTGCAACAAAAAAAAAAGTGGAATTTATTTTGGAATAATTTTTGAATTATTAACGCGACGATAAATCTCAATAAATTATGTGTTGCGTCGTTTATTGTTAAAAAAAAAAAAAAAAAAAAAAAGGAAAAATGTAAATCGAAGACAAAAAAATTCGTTAAAAATTGAATTGATTAATTAACTATCGCGAAAACACGATATGATGCATCTGAAAAATAATGAAACTGATTTTACAAAAAATATTTATATTTTATTAAAGTAATTTTCTTGGAAACCTGTAAACTGAAAGATTATTCTCACGTCACCAGTGTTTCCATTGGAATTGCTTTCATTTACTCGGTTACTCGGATCGTTTTAGATATTTTCTCTGTTTTAAAATGGCGATTTAAGCGTGATCTTTGATTCTGCAAAAAGAAGGAAAGTCGGATAAAGTTAAATCAAAAAATATAAAAGTCTGTGAGACTACAAGAATATTACGTTTAATATTCAAAAACTCATTTGCAACATGTATACAAGATGTGTCAAAGTGAATCATCATGATGCAGTATCTAAGAATAATCTTGAGTTTGACGCATATTATTATGTTTCTCAAAGAGAATGAGGTTTTAATCCACTGCGTGTCTACGTGACACTAATTTTTTTTTTTTTTTGCGAATGATATCTTTTACATTGAAAAAAGGAATAGAAAATTGTTAGAGTTATCGTTCTGTCTTCGTAACACATTTCATTTCGTTATTGCACGCTTATAAAATTTGCTATCAACTTGCCTGCGTTATCTCACTCATAAATTTAATAGTGTGGAATAGAGATATGCGTATGAAATGACAAAATATAATGTAAACTGTTGATAGTAAATATAATGATTTGCGAGAATTGAAGAATCAATTTCATTGTTGGATCTGTGAATTTTTATTAAAAACGAGTTTAAATATTCAACTCATATATAATATAATAAAAAGTGTGTCCTAGAATTCAAATATATATATTCGTAAAATATCAATTTACACAAAATTTCTATTATAATGTTATGTACAAATATTTTTTCCAATGGTTTTTTTAACAAATTAAAAAAAAAAAAAAAAACGAACGAATAAAAAATCGTTGTACTGAACGTCATGCAATACATATATTATTTCAGCATCATATATTTGGTACTCTTTTTATACCCAAACTAGTTTCAGTTTCAATATTTTCCCAGTTTTTTCCCGATATTTTATATCGTAACCAGATATATACGATTTACTTATTTTATTCAAAATAAACTTGTTTATAATATTCAATTATCGCGCGCAAATAAAACCAAACGCGTAAAGAAAAATATGTATTTAAAAAAAAAAATCTGTTGTCTACTCTCTCTCTTCTTTTTTTTTTTCTTTTTAGACCTATTTTTCTCAATTATCGTTTCTATTTTTTAACTTTCCCTCACATCGGGATACAATAATTTTATAAGCAATTTAACATCCCTAAAGCTGCCTCCGCCTAAAGCATCCCTGCCTCCCTCCCTCTTGCTGCAACGTCCTCGGTTCTGTCGTTCGCGAGACAACGATTTTCCCGTCTGTTTTTCCGGTAGCGCGCGAAGCAAGTCGTCGTAGCGAATTTTTTTCGTTTGGAGAGGGGAAAGAACAGCGAGCGGTGCCTCGTGTTACGCCAGCAAATAGCCGGGTTCTTCGTCGTAGCAGGCAAAAGCAGCAGGGGAACCGACATTAATTACGAACCGCGACGATTATGAAGCACGTGGGACAAGATGATGCGTCCTCCACGCGGAAAAACGAGTGGGTAGAGCGGTGTGTGTACGTATACATATGTATGTATGTATGTATGTATATACCATTCTTGCGAAACAGGTATTTAGTTGGGACGAGGAGGCAAAACTTTTCTCGAGTGATCAATGTCCAAGGTATATTAGGTTATATTAACCAAGAAAGTTTTCTTCTTCTAGCAAGATGCAAAAGAAAGATGCAAGAAACGATGGGAAGAAAATTGAAAAAGAGTTTGTATCGGGAATAATTGTGAATTTTTTTCCTTTTCCTCGGAAGAAAAAATATATATTTTAAATAAGTCCTCGATAATTTCTCTTTTCAATTTGTGAATCAGAGTGGTAGCAATTTTTGAAAAAAAACTCTTTTTCTTCATCGAATTCGTTCTATATTTTTAGATTCTAGAGATGATTTAATAAGAGTTACATACATACAGGGTGTCCGATTGCACGAGACAATTATTATGGATTCTCTGAAAAGGAAAAAGGAGGAGCGTGTCGATATCTAATTACATTGTATCTCGTGCGTGGATTATTGCGACACTGGAATTTAAAAAAAAAAAAAAAAACAAAGGTCACGTCAGACCTTATTTATACGAACTTCTTTATTTATTTTTATATCGCAGAATCGATTTCCGTTGTATCTTCCTTCCTCCTTATCGGATCCACGCAATTTCAATCTCTCGCAAATATCCCATTCATCTTATCGAGATATTTTTCTATTATCGCAAACGAGAAAATTTGCTCGGTAAACCTAATACTTTTCAAGGTTGAGAGAATCAATTTTAACGTTGGCCTACATTACCTGGTCGATCATAGAACGCTTCCCAACGCGCGTCCCTGCTAGGCGCCACAGTTTGCCCGGTATGGACGTCCTTCACGATCCCGTAAGTCCACACAATATCGCTGTCCAATCTGTACGTCATCGTGGCGTTAAAGAAATCCTCGTAAAAATGGTCGGACAGCGGCCTATTGGCCGGGCTTTCGAGATTCACGAAAACGTACCACTGGCGCGGGCTCCTGCGCTTGGGCAGATCGGCGAGTTTCAGCTCGTTCCCGTGGAACAGGACCGCGTCAAATTCCGTGAGATTCGCGTAACTTCTGTCGTGGGTCGCGTAACAGTCGTTCACGGGGCAATCGGCGAATATGTCCCCTTTGCCCATGTAAAACGTCTCGTCGTTGAACATGGTGTTCCAGAACAGGATCTTCTTGGTCGTGTTTGTGACCCGCGCGTCCCCCGCGATCATCCGTTTGAAATGCACGATATCATCGATCCTCCAGTTGAAATAGACGGACAGGAGGGTGAACGTGAAGATCGCGAGGACGATCAAACTGTTCCTTTCCAGTATCCATAATCTCATCCTCTTCGGCTTTTCTTTCCTCCTCGTTTCCCTTTTTTTCTTATTCTCATCGAACGGAAAGATCGACTTTCCTCTTTCACCGATTTCTTTATATCTCGAATAAACGATTCCTTCTCACGATTCCGTCATCTTAATTGCCCACTCGACGTTTGACGTTTGTCGGCGTCCGTCGACGAGTTAAATTGTTGGTGACAGTGAACAGGATGGATGGGATTGATCGGACAGAACAGGAGGAAATGAAATGTTTCAAAGGGTGGGTTTCGCTCGATGCGTGAAAGATTCTCACGAACGGTTGGAAGGCGGATGGAACCGATGATCGCCAGCGTGGAAATATGGAAACGTTTGTAACGGCGGTTTACCGAATGGGCCCCGGCTATTTCGTTACACCGCAACGATCATGAGACTCTAAATATTTCATTCGATTCCAAAAACCAACCGACGGCATAAATTATTCGAACGTTATATAGTTATTGGCGATCAATGATTCAACGAACCGAGCGGGCCATCGATTTCTCTTCGAGTCGGCCAATTTACGGATAAAAACGAACTATTCCCCCCCTGCATTTATTCCCACGATTCGAAGAAACTTGACTATGCATTTTATTTATTTATCTTTCTCTCTTCTTTTCTCTCTCTCTCTCTCTCTCTCTCTCGCTCCCTTCTTCATTTACGTATTAAATTTCCTGCTTCCAGTAGATATGCAACTGACAGGTAGATAAAAAACACAATTACCCAGTGGCTACTAAACGATAAAGGAAACGAACAAAACGACAACCCGTCTCTCTATTTGTGCCCACCTTTTCTCTCTTTTCCTTTCGCGTGTTCCGCTTTGACGCCGCGCAACAGAGTGAAAAGAAAAAAGGGGAAAAAAAGAAAAAGAAATGACGCGCAAAGAGGGAAGAAAGAGGGGATGGATGGATACGAGATTACATATCGAGTTTCGTTCGATTAAAAGTTACGGAAAGAAAGATCGAACTTTCCCTTCCCTTCGAGGCACACACGCGCGAAAATTCTGCATATACCGTGTCAACGGAAATCGAATCTTTTCTTTCTCTCTCTCTCTCTCTCTCTCTTCCTCTTTCGCCCGTTGCTTTAAACGTGGCGAAAATTTCAGATTACGCGCGTTTATTATCGCAGAAAGCTGGCGGAGGGTTCGAACATTCGCCTATCCGTGGAGGATTTTAGTCCATCAAGACGCGATTGTATCGCGCGTCGAATGCAAAAAAGGATGGCTCCGTTTCCCGTGAAGGCTCGAAGGATGGAAAGGCCGATAAAACTCGTGATTGATGGTCCACTATCGCCCCGCCAACGTGGATGGGAAATGTAGGGCACGCGCGTGTGTCTCGTGATCGAGGAATTTGTCCTCCTCCCTCGCGAACAAGTTTACTTTACACCGAAAATCTCACAAATTTCCGCGTAGAGTTGCAGCTACCAGCCTCTTGCACCACCGTCATCCAACACCAACTATTCTTCCCTTATTTTTCGAACACGCGTTGAATTTTTGTCGAGATACGATCAGAAAGCTTCGACTCTGTTTCTGATTTTTATATTTTTCTTCTCTTTTTCTCGAATCGTTCGAGGCAACGCAACAACGTTTTTTGTAAATCAAGACGTGACGAATGAGGAACGGCTGCGAGAGACGAATACCGACGCAGAGAGAAAAGATAAGAGAAGAGCGCTACTACCGACTGTGTCAGCAGTTGTAAGCCGACTGGTCAAATGCAATGTGCGCGCTGTAATATCTATGCTAGTTCCGAAGAAGGCATTCATTGTTCTAACAAGTCGTGCGTTATGGAATCGTGTTATCGGTTTTAGATATCGTTTGTCGTTTTCTTTTTATTATTCCATTATATTGTTAATAGTAAAAAAAAACTGGAACGTGAGATACGCCTTTTTTACGCTAAAAATTAAATTTCAACGAAATATTGAACGATATTATAAATAAATATCGTAAACTTTAACTTCCTGAATTTTTTTTTATATCATAGTATAGTATACCGTATATTATATTACAGAGATGATAATTTTTGAAAAGGATAAGACAAATTACGAAATTAGCTTAAACTATTAATTTAAACATAAGTTTTAATTAATTCGTTAAGCTTAATTAATGCATTAATTATAACATAGTGTTAGATATAATTAATGGATATGTAAATTTCGTTTCGAAAAATCGCGACAACAATTTCGAATTCCCAGTTTTCATTTTGTTTTCGAGTTTCAAAATTTTTATCGTCATTTTATTGCCTGTCGATGAACGTTGGATAGATTTTTATCGACAAATCCTCGATAAAATTGAAACTTATACGAAATGGTGGGAAGGAGACGCTAGACGGTCGATTAAGAAGCTTTTCTCGGGGAAATGGAGTGACTTAGCGGAATATAACTTCGCTCCTTATATCACTCAATCGTAAAACTTGGCGCCTTGGCAATCGTGGTTGAACGACAATCCTGGATGAACGGAAACGGAGAATCACGTGCGCTCGATGTCGTGATTTATGAAAGGAACTTTTTTATCTCGAGAAACTCCCCTTCTAACGATTATTCGTTTAACATTCTCTTTCGTGTTTATCAAACACGACATTTCGAGAAATTCGATACACGATTTTATCGATAAATATTTAAATATTTGAATACATTGAAATTTCGCGAAGTTTAAAAACTTTTTCTATGAATTATTTCGAGAAAAAGATTATTTTTAAAACGTATCGTTTCATAAATATTGATCACGTTCTGAGATCAACCTGAGAACGGATGTTACGTCAGTTACGATATCGTCCAGGTATACGATATATTGTAAATCTCTAAGAGAGAGATAATGAAATTTCAAGTAATGAATCACGATAGAGGTACGTAGAATTTGTTCTCGAAGTTAACAACTTCAATTCTGCGAAATCTTCATCCAACGAATGAAGGATTAAAAAAAAAGATGTTGAAAGCAGTCCTTTCTTGTCATATAAATAAAGAAAATAATTATATTCACACTTGTCTGGAATAAAATATAAAGTACTTTATCAAGATTATTCGAACTTCAATCAACGCTTCTTGATCTTTTGAATCTCTGTCTCGTGTTACGAAAGAGGATAATTGCATTCACACTTGTGATAGAAATAATGCTATTAGAGAATTTGAATCGTACGTTATTTTTGCAAAATATCACGTTTTATGTTATTTCTTTTGAGATTAAGAGATAATAAAATAATTTATTGCTATCCAGCGAGGAATTCTGTACAAGCACGAGGAGAGGATGAACATTGAAAAAATATTAATTCATCAATCAGCGATATTTTGATCAAGAGAATCATCATCAATCTCATCATTTCATCAGCTCTCGCTCGTCATTTAAATCTCGAGCAATTACACCATGATTTCGATCAACCAAACAATCGGCGAATCAACAAAATCACACCACAAACGCCACGATATTATTAATTTCGTGATTGATATACCATCAAAAGTACTTTGATTTCATTCGAACTTTAAATAATAACCAAGACTGTTTTCGAAACTCCTTGCAAGGATTAGAAAGAGCGGCGATCATTTAAATCTTAAACTTTGGAAGATGGGCTAAAATCAGCGTTGATAACCCGAGCGAGCACCGCAGCACCGTGATTAATTCTTCTCATTAATCACGGGCCGATCCATCATCACAATATCCGCGACGTTATTCTTCGATGCCACTCGAAACGCCGCGAAATCAATCATAATCGGAGTTTAAGAGAGTGGCGCGATTTTATAAGAGATAATTTCCCATTCGCGGATTTATATCGCCGCCTATATAAATACACAGACACGTTATCGAATATAATTATCTCGAATGCCCGTTGAGATGAAATAAGAATACTGATTCATCGATGAAACACAGGCACAAATGTTGCAAGGTTGTTTGAAGGAATTATATTTTATTAAATCGTGGTGGATAGATCGATTTTAAACGATTTTTCAAACGTGAGCCATTTTTCCATTGGATTCTCGTGCGTTTCTTAATCGAATAACAAGCTATATAGGAGTGTCAAGATACAGGACGCCACACGCATTAGTGATATCGAATCACTCGTCAAATATGTTCGCACATCGGAAATTGATTACGAGTGACGAGGCGAATTTCCATTTTAAGCGGTTACGTAAATAATTGAAAAATCCTTGAGTTACGCATACGAGTTTATTACATTCGAAGAAACCTTTTTCACGCTACGTTTACGTTCTAATTGAAATTATTTCTTTTTTTTTTTTTTTTTTTGTTAGAGAGTAGTAATTAATTTTAAGTTAGCGTGCAACATTTTAGCATTAAGTAGCATCGATGAAATTTTATATACATGTACATAGTTTCAACAAGATGATGACTAATATTGTTCTCTTTAAAATATCCCGTCTAAAGAAATATTTAAAGAACTTTATTTAGCTTTGTTACACAACACCATTTCTATACTACATTTTTATTTCGTCGATTTGATAATTATTACGACGTTTCAATTGATGATTCTCTTTTCTCTCTGTGTGTGTGTGCATTTTCGGTAAATGCGAGACGGAATCGACTCTTCCAGTCGAGCGATCAGCCAACTGCCCTCTTGCTTCACCCTTGACCAATCCTGAAACTTTCCCAAAGGATTTCCACGACTCGTGGTGACCTGTTTCCTTTTCCTCTTCCTCTTCCTCTCCGCCGTCTTCTTTGGAAACTTATCCCTTGTCCTTATCGTGCGTTTCTATTTGAATCGACACCACTGTCTCGAGTAACATCCTCTCGTATAATAACGTTCGTAATGCAAGCGATTTGCCGATAATTATGCCGAGACGATCGAGAAAGCTGATCGTTGACAGATAATTTCAAATGGTTAAAATCGAGCGGTTATATATAGCTTACTTAGAATTATGAACAATGCCAAAACAAAGTCGTCGCAAGATTCTTTCGAAAGTTTTTTCTTATTCGTTAATAAAATCGAAAAATCGACGCAATTAATGGAATTTTCTGTGTGTGCAGCCCTCTCGGATCGACCGATGTTTGCCGAGCCAATACCGAACGTCACAGTGCCATTGGGGAGAGACGTCAGTTTACCATGCGTCGTGGAAAATCTCGGTAATTATAAGGTAATTAAATCGAAGAATTCATCAAGCATTTCGTATTATTCTGCATCTTCTTCCCCAAATTGTTCGTATTTTGACGGAATTAAACGTTATAAGAGGAGCTAGCCTCCCGTACGAATTCTTATAGGCGACGAAAAAATCGAACCAAAAAAAAAAACAAGCACACGAATCAACCGGACGATATAACTCTGGAAACTCTCCGAAGGAAACCCGTTTCTTCTGCCTGAGAAAATTTTCCTCTTCCAATTATCGCGAGGAGAACACGAATCGATCCGAGTCCTGACTAATTTCCAATTAAACGTGTTGAGATAACACGCTGTGTTACACGTATATTTACATCTCGAGATGCATCTGAAATTTTCGCGACAAAAAACCTTCGCCTCGAAGATAAAACGATTTTCTCGATTATCATCTAGTAATTTTGTAAGAAAAGCAAATAATCGAAGAGATACGAAAGCGAGGGAAATGTAAAGGAAATGTATCGTTCGATATCGAATTTTCCCTTCTCGTTTACGTAAGCGAGACGTCCACAGCCGCGCCATTATTACGCAACGTCGTGGGTAAATAATAAATGGCGGCGGAGACGTTGGAACGCGCCAGGTTTTAAAATATTTACGGTATCTGGTCCCGATGTATCGATTCCCGCCAAGGCGGAATATCCTCGTGGCGGGAACGTTTTGTCGTGTGCACGCTCGAAATCCTTTTATCGGAACGATTTTAATGGAACGGCGCGCACGAAGGAGAGAGGAGAGGCTCGATTCGGGTGAGCTCTAGGTGCCACATCGGGCGTGTACCACACGTGAAAAGCCGTTTTCAAAGCGAATAAACATGTGTCACCGTGTGTGGGGCGTCCATTTTTTTGATAGGATATCAATGTGAACATTGGTGGTGGTGATGGTGGTGATGATGGCCGTTTCGAAGAGCGTTTTCGTTCCTTTTGCTCGCGCCGATAAACTTTGATTAACGATCGGGGTGTAGCGTGTTTATTTTTCCAAATTGCTCGGGAGATTAGATAACATATTCGTCGAAACAATTATTTTTCACTCTGATGCGATAGAAGATAGGATGAGATGAATTATAAATATCGATTTTGATGATGAAACTTTTATGGATTTTAGTTTAGTTACTGGGAAATGGGAAATTGTTTTTTTTTTTTTTTAATAATCGTCGATAATCTTGATAAATCTTTTTTCGAAAATTTGTGTAAGAAGTTAAAATATTGCGCGTATTTTTCATATTATAAAAATATTGAACATTGTAATAATGCGTGATATATTTGCTTGATTTCGAGTTATTATCTCGACAGATATCAGCTATCTGAAAATCAATATGACACGTGATAAGTGGTTATTTATTTTATCATATACTTTCTTATCGTAGCTGAACCGATAAAAAATTCAAACGTAAAAAGATAGACGTGTGAAAGATATAAATACGTATAAAAATACACGTATGTATATTAGACATAGAAAAGAATGGGAATGTTCATGCTTCGTGGCCGATTCTTCGAACATCTTCTACGCAACTATTTAATCACGCGTGTGAAACGCAACAGTTTGTAGAATATAGCCGCGATAATTCATCGCGTTGACCAATCTCCAGCCTCGCGTCGATTAAGGAAACGAAATAGAAGAAACGAAACATATAACGTACGAAATACGAAACTGCCTTATTTATGGCAATAAAGGGGATGAAAGATAAAAAACACAAGATGGAAATTCCACCATTTACACCAGTTTCACACCGATGATCGTTAATCATCGAAGCGAAAGAAAGAGCAAAATGTATCGCAGCGGACCTAAAAGAAGAGGAAACGGAAATGTAAAGCTCGTCTCGATTCCTCTCCGCTCAATTATCCACCATCCCAGGATACCAACGTTATTAGCATTACCGCGATTCCAAAGCGAAGAACGTTTCCTCTCCTATTCTCTGGCGTGTCGGTAATTTCCTCTCCCCTCCTCCTGCTCTTTTTCCACCGCAATCTCGCCGCTGGTCCGTGGGCGGATTCTTCGCCGTTATCTCGGATGCCACCCATCGGCCGGAGGACCGATGTTATGCAACCGCTATTGGAAACGCATCAGTTGTTGTCCCGTTGCTCGTAGCCCGCGGCTCGTTACACGCGAGCAAACAACAAGAAGGTGTCGGTCACTTTTTGATCGAGCACAACTGAATCGCTATTATATTTAGAGCTTGGACGACTTTAGGCGATGCTTGGCTTCGTATCTATGCTGTTGTTTGTCGTCGTTTGTTAACGTTATTTCACGATGAGGGTAGTAATGAGGGATAAGGTTATCGGATGAAATCGTGGTTTATAATGTTATATATCGTACGAAGGATCTGGACGAACGATTTAGATACTCGTTGCTATTTCGAAGAATGGGAGGGGGAGGTAAATGTGTATGTGAGAAATGTTGGTGGATTTGAATTCTTTGCGAGTGTTTTTGGGGGGGGATGAAGGGTTTGAAGTTGAAAGTTCAATAAGAATAGTTTCAAGTGGGCGAATATATTTGAAACTTTACTATACTTACTATACTTACTACCACGTTAAAATTTTCAATTGAAATGAATTCTCTTAGTTTTCGAAAGTTTTTTTTTTTTCTTTTCTTACACATTTTAATTCTTTATTTCCCTATTTTATAATGAAAGTACGTTGTGAATCGAGCGTATGTCTGTTATTTTTAAGAGTTTCTCTAAATTTGAATGAGAGATTCATAGGAGATTCAGTTTAATACCGGTGAATAAATTTTCAAGATTAGATGAAATCGCTGGTTCTAAAATTCGAGATCAATCCACAAGGATGGGAACAAACAAATTTTTAAAAATAAAAATTTTAGGATGATAAAAGAGATATTTTTAATTCGTGTCGAGGATATGGGAATCGATGCAAAAGTTATTTGGCTTTTAAATGCAGGAAATGAAGGGAAAAAGGACGGTTCAGTGACCGGCGTTGGCTCGAATTAAATTTTGAATGGAACAGGTAGAATGACGCGACGATGGAGAGTGCTGGTAAATATTTTTGGGCTGTGAGCCAGGTGTAAAGAGATCTTTCCACGATTCTTATTTACATTTAATTTAACCGTATCGCCAGACAGGTTTTGTCATTACATTTTAACGAATTCTGTATAATTGATAAACCCGATCAATTTTGGATTAATTACGGATAATATATATTTATTGAATTGCCGGGAAAATAGATTTTTCACCGAATCAAGATGAATGATTTTAAATAGCTCGCTTATTTACGATAACAAGATTTATCTATCGTTATTTTCCGTATAGATAGCTATATTCAAATAAGCAAACAAAAAATAATTATGATTTAACAACCACGATTCATAAACGAGGAGAATCCGTATTACACGTGTAATAAATTTCCCTTCGAACTCGCAAAATTATCTCATAATATATTTATTCAATTCCACTCGTTTCGCTTCTCGTCCCACAATCCAAACTTCTTCCCATAGAAAATAACAGAATTCCAAGAAGACAAACGAAAAATCACGAACATGCGATTAATTCTCGCTAATCCAGTATTCCTCTATTGCCTTATCTATTTACCGATTCTTCGTTCGTTTCACCCATTCATCGTTTTTCGTTATACATAATTTAAAAAAAATACTTCACTTCGAAAAAGTAACAAAATGTCACAAAGGCAGACAATGCCTTGAAATAACACGATGACATTAATTCCCAAAAATACCTTATTTATTCATCGTCTCTCTTTCGCTTTAAAAGATAAAAAAAATCCACGATGCATCCTGCAAAATGCCAGGAAAACGGACGATGCCTTGGCATAACAGGATGGCATTAATTCCCAAAATTAAATATTCCCTTATTCATCGATTTTTCATCTCATAATCTCTCATCCTCGAATATAATCCAAAACTGTTTCGCCCGAAAAGATAAGAAAATCCACGATTCTCATTCATTCTAGAGAATCGTAGCAAGTCTCGCGATCCCGTTATTCGCGAGGAATTCGTGGCAATTACGTGGGCAGGAGTTGATCGAGCACCGCTGCGAGCGGTAAACGGCACGTGTTCCGGAGCCGGCTCGAACTTCAACCCCCGTCTGCATGTCTTCCACGCACGTGCACGTGACTGCACGCGGGGAAGGCGGCCGATTGAAGGCGCTTATTAGCCCGAGCCAATTACTCCTGAGCCGGCAACGTGGCCACCGTGGCCGGAAAATTGCCACTCTCTATGTACGCGTCGTCCTTCCCCTCCTTCGAATTCCAAAAGGGATTCTCTCCCTTCCTTTGTTCGCTGCCGAAGGACACCTCTGAAGGAAGTCGTGATCGATGGAAATTTGATTTTCGGTCGGGCCAAAGGGGGCAGAGGATTTTGTGGCAGAGGGCGAAGAAGGTATTGAATTTGAAGAATTTTGGGGGAGGAATGAGATTAAGCGTCCTCTCTCCTTAGTTATTCGACGATGAAAAGGAAGGCCTGGTAACAGAGATTTCGAGAACGAGAAATGTAAATTAAATTTATGAGTTTGATGAGTTGTGAGAATTGGAAGAAGGGGTGGAACGAATCGTTTTTAAATGGTATATATCAATTATGATAAATAAATAGGCGAAAAAAAAGATAATTAAACGATTATTTACGAATAAGAGAGATATCAATAACGATGAATATTGGAATGAAAATAATGGTGTATAGAGTAATGAAACATTGTAAAAACAACGTAAAATATTGTGACCGCGAGTGATAATTACGAAAGAGTTGCATGAAATGGTTGAAATAGTCAGAATAGTTAAATTCAAATGATAAAGTAAAATGTTCTTGCGATAAATATAAAACTATATTAAACTATACTTTTAGACATTTTTGTTAAAAAAATATATATATCGTTTCTCTATAATGGTCCGTCTATCTCACATGTAAATACTATTCGACTAGCTTTCGCTGTATGAGTTAATTGAACAGCCGTTACAATTTTTTACACGTTTATTTTATATCATCAAACTCAATTGGCATTGTCTCTACAAATGTATTTTTCCCCGT